CTGCGAAGTGCCTAGACTTTGAAAGCTGTTCACCTGCAAAGCCCATTGACGTCTCCCATAAAGATAAACGCTGGCGCTATTCTGGTTGAGAGGGGCAACATGCTGCAGTAGTTGCGGGAATTTCAAGGAATCGTTTGTCGCTATATAATCTTACGAATTTCGTTTCTATGCCGTTTCTTCAGAATCTTTCTATCTTAGACGACTTCCAGGGGAGAACGGCGCGGGGTGACGATTGCAATGGCCTGGGTGGCTGACGGCACCCTCCTAATCCTAGAAGGAAAGAGCTCCGGGTGGATTTACCACACTCTTGCGGAACTAAGAGGGTATCACTTTTTCTAGGCCCTTTTAAATGATTGCTTCCAAATGCCTTAGGAGTTCTGCACCAAAATGCTGCACCTTGCTAGCGCCATACCGCTTGTAATCCTCCCACCCCATACGTCTTCCCGATTAGGACAAGTCGAGTGACGCGCCCGACTGAATTCCTTATTCATAGACCTCAGTGTAAAGTGCTACGTCCCAGACGGGTTCTCAAGCGCATAAGGAACTTGCCTGAAGCAACGATGGTAGCGGTAAATCGAGGTCGGACGTCAATGGAGGCATGCCCTCACGTTGGACTTTCAGCATCACATCACTCAACGACATCGTCGACGACTCACATAATGTTGGAATCTGTACGAAAACCAGCTCGTAAAGGTGTGTAAAGCAGGAAAGGGCAGACAATCATCTCTGGAGGTGCAACTAATACCTACCTGATGCGGAAGAGCGAGAAATCGCAGCTCAGGTGCAATCGACTTGTGCAGATCGGCAAACGTTCGCCGTGGTTTCGTCGGCGCCGACGTACGAACGAAATTGCCACCAACCGTCGTCGGTGCTGACGACGCCGCCGGTCGAGCGGCACGCCAACGATCCTGCGACGTGGAGGCGCTCGTTGCTTCGAGCTGAATCTCGTTGTCGTTGACGTCCACGTAACGACCGACACCATTCTCGTGTTCACGGCCAACGAAATTCGCCAGAAGACTCGCTGGTCGCTGATGGCTCGCTGTACTTGACGGCGTTGTAAGTGGACGAGTTACCACGTTTGGAGCACTGAAAAATCAATGTTACAGGCGATTTCGGGTTATCTGGAAAGATGGATTAGTCACAAGGGGGACATCTGGGCTCATTTTAGCTACGGGTAATTATGGCCACGTGGCTGCTAAATGCGGGGGCGAGGTGGCTTAAACGGGGGGAGGGGGGGCAATTAATGGCATTTTCATGCAGTAATGGGATTACTGCGATGGGAAACCACGTTTCCGCAGAGAAATCGGAAATCGGTACCCACCCCTTTGAGCAATGACCCTCATCAACACTCCCATAATCCTCCCAGAGACTTCTTTCCAGGCAATTCTTCAAAGGCCCCTCGGCTAAATTGCGCCGAATTGCGCGAAAATCGTAAGAAGCTCAGAAACTACCCAAAGGGGTTGCAATGAAAAGGGTGGGGGAACCCCTAGGAAAGTATCCGTAGGCTCCTCCGATCAGCTCCAGGAGGTGGCCGAGTCACGTGGCATGGTGGCCCTGGGTAGGAATGCAGCGCCCGCCGAGGGGAATTCGTCAAACAGACACGTCACGCTCGATGAATTCCTCAGCGTAAATCTCCGAAATCCTGGCGTCAGCTTGTAGCTTCAGCTCGCAAATACATAAAGCCACCATAATCCACAGTAATCCACATTGATGTAGGTCATGGGCATTACGGTAAAAACTCCGAAATGCTTCAAAGCCGAGGTCATCCTCAAAAGTGTTATGGTTTTCTGGAGAAGGCAATAAAAAACGATAAATAATTCAATAATTTGAGAACGGGGATATTACCTGGCAGTTGTTTCGTCAAGCGGTTCAGTGGAACGAATTCGTCCCCAGGTGGTAAGTTGGCCGCTTTGCCAATGTCCTGAATCGGCGAATGTGAGCTGGAAGTCCTCGGTTCGATGGCGACATCGTTCCCGGAGCTGCTCTGAGTCTAGCGAATCAGTACTGACAGAACTCGAAGCGAATAGCGCTGAATCACCACCAAAGTCGAGTTGAGCGATGCGAGTGTCGATGTCCGATGGCCAAGTATCATCTTCAGGATAAAGTTGCAGTTCGCAGAGCTCCATAGACGACCCTGAATGGACCGGGGATGGAGGACGAGCTACTGCTGGCTGCTACGAGGCTGTGTGCTGCGCTGATGGTCCCCGCCGAGGAATCGATGCCACCCACTGCGTCTCTGGCTTGCGCCACACCCGCTCACTACACTCTGGCCACCTGGCGCATGTCGACTGCGCCACCATCAGTCAGCTGGTTCTTCCTAGCTGGGGGGAGGGATACGGTAAGTACTAGTGAATCCTGTCACACTTACCGTTTATTCTTCACATATACGTGGTCGTTTGTAACAGGACGTAATAGTAGATGATCCTGTTCCATTGGCCATACTCGCCGTCCAATTGATGGGTACGCCGTGTCGTCGGCGAATCGCCGCGATTGAGAGCTTCTTTTGCAAGGTGCTCGGGATCAAACGCCTACAATAGAGAGTTCCTTTGGTCTGTGAGTGTGTATATGACTACGAATCGATGAACGTTCGATAAAAAGCTGGTTTGGGGCGAGTCAGGCGACGCCAATTCTCTTGACATATTCCATACACATAAGTAAACAAACGTCTGATGGTGAGACGGGAGTTATTTGCCAAGAATGCGAGAGTTATTGGAAGTTAAGTATTCAGCCATTAAAAAGACGACAACTGCCGGGTAATCGGCATAAACAAATGACGCATTGCGATTGGACGTTCTCTAAAAAGGTGTAAGTCAAAAGCAAAGATGTAATCATTCAGTGAATGAGGCTCTTGTGGTTTTATTAGCCCCACTGCTTTCATATTTCTGTGACTCAGAACTGGATAAAAAAGATAGCGATAAGATAGAGTTAGTTCCTAGAATACGCCGTGCATCGGAGAATCGTACAGATCTCCAAGCCATTTGGAACAAGCACGACGTGATGGAGTAACCTCCAAGTTTAGGGGGGGGGGGTCGAATTTGAACCGCTGAATATGGGGATAGCTGGGAGTGACAGATTGCCGCCAGATTCGGCCCACCCGGTCTCCCTGCCTAAAAACAAAATTTATTGGCGCTCAGTCTAGCGACGAGGGGGGAGGGGGGGGGTATTCGACCTTCATCATTTACTGATTTATAAGGTGCCATTCTGCGTGAACCTCATGTCTCCGCGTAATCGAGTTGCTCCCAAGGAACGCAAAACGGCCTCTGGGACGACCACCAACGCGTTGGTCCGACTCGTTTTTGAAATATTTCAGAGAACGCGGTCCACCACATTGGATGCAAGTCGCCAGAAATCGTGCGTTATGGAAGAGCTGTGGTCCCCACTGAAGATCAAGCCAGCTGAAGGACCATCAAAGTATCAAAGTAAGTCGCGCAGACGGAGAACATCGTGATTTGCTTAGTTCTTCAGAAAATGCAAAAAACCCTTTCGCACATCCCCTCCTCCCTACCTAAAAACAAATTTAGGGCGCAGCTTATTGACGAGGGGGGGGCACTTCATCACTTCTGATTTACAAGTGTCACTCTGGTGAAACCTCTGAACTCTTGTGAAGCTAGAGCAAGCTCGTCGAGCCCCATGATAAAACCTGTCAACTCTTGTAAGCTCATGAAATAGCTCTCTAGATGGCTCGACACGTCGATGGGAAGTAGCAAAAGTGCAAAATGCCTCCCCCCCGTTGCCGAACTGAGCCCACATATAGCAATCTGCTGCATTTATTTAGATGGAACTGGTGTGGTGGCATGTGGCCAGCTCGTCACGCGTCAGTTTGGAGGGGAGGTGAACTCCCAGGTCGGCGTTCGCTCAGGTCCTTCAATACAAAAGGATAAAGTAAATTTTTCGTTGAAGGAAAATAGTCTGAAAATAATATTGGTGGCTTTGGTATTCGTCCATTCGCCTCTCATTTATTCGAACCCATTTTGTCGTTACCCCCTGAGGCTCATCAGTGGAGGGCGGCTAACTACAGAGGAAATGAGAGCAAGGGACATAAAAGAATGTACTTTCAGAAGAGCAAATGTTAGATGAAAGTGAGCAGTCTTTCCTTTCTCCGTGGAGGGCAAATAGACCCCCAAACTGATCTGGGAGGATAAAACCACTGATATGAACATCGGCTGGCTCGCGCAAGTCATTGCATAGGCCACATCGCATTCAGGAAGGCACAACGATTCCGTGTGAGGGAAAAATGCGTGCCGCACCCTAGAACACAAGGGCGAAAGTTCCATCTCTTTGCCCTTTTGGTTTTTTATTACTTGTATCCATAAAAAAATCTACATTGCTGCGAGTGACCTGCAGACATGGGCAAAAGAGTGGAATTCTATAAAGGAATATTTTTTTCACTACTTCTATTGGCTCTACTTGCTCTCTCTCACAGTCAAGGGAGAAACTGAAAGTAAGTATATAGGTAAAGTTGGATCTTGGGTTGAAAGTTATCGTGGTATGGGCGGAGGTCGTGTCTCAACCGATAAATTTGCCCGAGATGCCCTTAGTGGAGGGCATGACAAACATATCAATGAGCAGGGCTATGCGCGTACTGTTGAGCCCAGTAATTTCGAGTTTCTGATCTCTTCAATAGTTGGAAGGTTTTGTGGCGCAGTTCGGTTTGAGGAGAAGGACGAGGGGGGGGGGGTGTTCCAACTCCTTTGCTTTTTTCACTGCTCCATGGTAAACCCGTGTCACGTGTAAACGGTGCCCGTGCTATTGCACAGTCTTACAGGAGTTTACAGGTTTTCACAGGGCATTGGTAATTATTGAAGGGAACTAGTAACATGCCCCACCAAGAAACTGCAACGAATTTTCACTTTAGTCCTTTAGTTCACCGGCTTCATTTAATTGGGCTCATGGGTCCAGTGAAACGGAAAAGCTTCATTGTCGAAGCTTAGTTTTGTTGGGCTTTTAAGAGGATTCCATCCGAGAGCTTGTGAAACGAGGTGAAGGAAATATAATGACAACTGGAGCTGCTTACGACCTGGGGGTTCAATTCAGGATAGAGACCGGCGCCTTTTCCAATGAATGCGACACCTCATGTCACTCTCCTGGTCGGGCTCAAATTTTCACTTAGCGAGAGCAGAATTATATGTGTACAGGTGCTGGCTCTCACCGAATTCGATATTTAATGTGAAAACAGATGGACAGTGGTGTAGTGGGAAGCACAGTTCATCCCGCATTAGCCACGATGGCTCAAATCCGACACGCTTCCGCCTATACTTTAGGCATGCGTTTCAGCACTTCCGCGACTCCGGAGTAATGCTTTCTGACTTGCCATTGATCGTAGTCGAACGCCGCGCGACCGAAGCGCTTTTGTCGCGAAGTCTGAACGTTGCTTTACCGAGCCTTCTACCCTTTCCTGAAACGGTAAATTGGTACCCAGATTCGTTTGGGAGGATAAGAACACGACTTGTACATCAGCGAGCGCCTGCAAGTTACTGTTCTGTACATATTGCACTCAACAAGCCATTACTATTGTGAATGGGAGTGGAATGTGAGTCCAAAGAGGGATTATCGACAGGGTAATGGTTATGGTTTCGATATTTCTCAGGCAAAATATTCTCGTTGATAACCAGTGACGAATATAAAAACGAATGTGCGCCTGCATGCCCGAAAGGGTATTAATCATCAGCGAACTGTTAATCCTAATCTAATGTGGAACCGCTCGTCCAGCTGACCTTTTTTCTCAAGGGAAAAGCAATGAAAAGGAATTCCATGAACGCTTTCCGGGAGGGAGACTCGAGAGCGCCTTGAATCAAACAAGAAATCGCTTTTGAAGGATGTAGTTGCGACTTTTTGCTAGCCATCATCGGATCGTGGCGTGATCATCGTGATGTCAAATGATAGACGACTATTTCTCTTTTAACAACCTTTTGACGCCACGACAAAAACTTCTGTCGGACTAATTCGATTACAACATTTTTTAGAGTAGAAAATTAAGAGCAATGCAATTTTAATCTAAATTTTGTTGATCGAGGGGGTTTGCTTGAATTTGACTAACGGAACAAAGGCCACCACCGCGTTGTATCATTTCCTGCACAAACACAATCCCCTAACTATCCTCGAATACGACGCCCCTCGCCCACGCTACTACTACTGTCTCCTTGGATTTCACCGAATTCCTACCTTTTTTCCACTTCTTCGCAGAACATTTCCTGTTTTTCAGCCAAGAATTTTTCGAGTTTTTTCCGTCGAGCGGGGGGAGGGGGTGTACCCAGTGTGGACGAGGAGAATTTCTCAGATTTTCTTCCGGTTTTTCCAAAATTTCCCGAAAAATTTCTGGATTTTTTCAAAATCCGCTGTCCACCGGGGGATAGTCACGATTTATCTATCATTTTTCAACTGTCAATGACATTTGTATAGAGTCCTTTGGCAATCGCTCTTCCAGTAAGAACAATTCCCCCCCCCCCTCCTCCGTCGCGTTCAAAATACGATGAGCATCATCACAACGATGGCGTGCCCTGCTAAGAAAGTTCGAAAGTAGAATTCACAAGGATATGACAACAGTTTTGTTTGCTTTGTTGGTTACTGCGATTTGCGCGCTTTGCCATACGAATGTCATCACAAGGAGCACAGGTGGGATGGAACGTTAAGACCGTGAACATCGCTTGTTATGTACGCTTTCCAGACATTAAGCTTAGAGTTTTGCTCGCTAGTGTCGCTGGGACCTTTCAGAGGGGGGGGGGTGAAAGATGGGTTTGTTTGGCTCGGCGCCATTCCATTCTAATACTATTCTGGAAGTTGATATGCGACCACAGTTGGTGGAAGACTACCAGGCGTCGCTCCTATCTCTCCCTGCTGAGAAGCCGAAGGGTCTGCAGCGAGCAGGACTGTACCTGCTACCCTACTGACTCGCCCCTGCTCTCGTATGTACATGACTTCCCACAAGACCAACAAGACGACTTGGTAGGGATGCTAAACGTTATTGCAGTGCTCCGTTGAGACATAGATTCGGGGCTAATACTCCGTCAGGAATTTGAGTAGGATTAGAACCTAAAACGGTAACCCGATTTACGGTCCTCGACCAGTTAGAGTTTGGCATTATGTAGGCTTTTATCGCCTTTCCTGTGAAAATACAGGCCAAAATTGA